ATTTTTATTGTATTTTAAATAGAAGGGGGTCCCACTTGGACAGCTACTTGGAATTCAATATCCTGCCTTTTTAAACAGTCCGGTTTAAACCAGTTTAATTCAAGTTTAAACTTGGAAGTTGAATCCTCCATAGATTCTTCTCTTTGTCAACCCCAAGAACACGCCTATGAGGTTTTTTTCACGAAAAACATTTTTTAAAAATTCGAAATTTTTTTTAGTTTTTAGTTAAAAAACATAATTTCTTGATAATATGGCAATATAGGTAGTACAATTTACAAGAAAGAAAATCCAGAAAAGATCCAGTGTTTCTCAAAATTTGAGCAAAAAATTATTTTTTTTTTGGAAATTTTCAAAGTAAAATAACTCCGTTATTTTGGACTTATTTGAAAAACGATAAAGAGAAAATATGTTTCTTTTATCGAGATCTACCACCCCTTAAAATACTTACACTTATTTCTGGGACACCCTGTATAGAGGGTGGCTCATACACATCGGTTGATTATACGAAAACGGAAAGATGGAGAAACAAAATATTTTATGGGTATACGTGGGGAGGCAATGTGCACAATTTAAAATTATTTTGAAATATACAGGGTGTTTCAGAACTAAGATCCATACCAAAGTTATATTTTCTCTTATGGAACACCCGGTATTTTATTTCATTTTTGGATTCTTGAGTCCAAAAAAAGGTATTTATTATAAGGGCTAAGTACGTTTATAAAATTTATCAACACCCTATACATTACTTTTCAAAATTAATTCTTGTGCTGAGTTTAAAGGCAGAGAAATAAACTAAAAAAAAATATTGCTTCCTTCAATTTATACAGGGGTACCAAAAATTGGTGATCTAATTTAAATATTTATTTTACATAAAAGTCGACATTTGATTATGGACATTATTATTTAGAAAAATGGCAGTATCTGCTGGCGGAACGAATGGATATGTTACTAGTGATTTTATTTTGTGAGGAAAATTGCTTCTTGGCCTCAAGGGCTTATGCTCAAAAATATCCAAATAAGAATCCGCCTGATAAGCGTTCCTTCGATAAAGTACTTGTCCTATTTCTCAACATGAAAGTGTGGAAAATATCTGTAAATAAACAAATGTAGTTTCACAGATTCAAAAAATGCCTTAATCAGACTGTTACATTTTAATGACAATTTTTGACTCTGTATAACTTAAATAGGTCAGTGATTTTTCTGCTAGTCTGCATTTTTTACAAAATAAAAAAAAGGAAAACAACTTGTGAAGTGCAGAGGACAAGGAGTCGGAAGTTCATTAAAAATCAGAAACTCGATTACAAATCGAAGAATTCGCAGAGAATGGAAAGTGAGCAGGGATCGATTTCGTTTCGTCGGAGTTAATTAAATCAAGAAACTCTCTGTCGTCTTTTGTTAATTTTAATTGGAAGCCTTGTCAACGACTGAAGTTTTTTTTATCATTAGAGAAAATGAATAAAAGACAAGACATAATGCAAAGAAAGAAATATTTTGAAAGAAAACTGTATTTTGTACACTCAGATGCAAAAAAACGCAACAGAAAAAATTTTGGTCTAGTTTTTTAAAATGTTATATTTTTTTATTTTTAGCCCTACGAGGATGGTCTGAAAAGTTTCCGATATCAACGTGAAGATGGCAGCACAGTAGATAAAAGCTAGTGAATTTTCATTGTTCATCTGTTCACCAAAGTTTCAGCCATTTTGGATGCGCAGTTGTTACGTAACAGTCGTTTGAGTGAGTTGATGTCAGTGTTTTTGTGAAAATGGATAAAATCGAGTATCGAGCTGTCATTAAATATCTGGTTTTGAAAGGCAATACGCCTACACAAATTAGACATGAGTTGGATTCTGTGTATGGGGACTCTGCACCATCATTTACCACAGTGAAATTTTGGGCAGCTGAATTTAAACGTGGCCGTATGAGCTTGGGAGACGATGAACGTTCGGGACGTCCAAAAACTGCAACTACCGACGATAACATCGCCAAAGTTCACCAAATGGTGCTAGACGACCGCCGAATTAAAGTGAGAGAGATAACAGAGGTCATGAACATATCAAAAGAACGTGTTTGTCACATATTAAATCAAGATTTAGGCATGAGAAAGCTGTCCGCGTGTTGGATGCCGCGTTTGCTCACGTTCGACCAAAAGCGTGTTCGTATGAACATTTCCAACGCTATGTTGGCGCAGTTTAGGTGCAATAAATCCGAGATTTTGGCGTCGATTAATTACTGTAGATGAAACTTGGATACATCACTATACACCAGAAACAAAAATACAGTCCAAACAGTGGACAGCAAAGGGAGAACCGGCTCCAAAAAAGCAAAAACTGTTATTTAGGCTGGGAAAGTGATGGCGCCTGTTTTTTGGGATAGTCATGGAGTTATTTTAATTGATTGATAAAACCATCACAGGAGCATACTACGCATCATTACTTGACAAGTTAAAAGCAGAAAAACGGCCACATTTACAGAAAAAAAAAATTCTGTTTCGCCAAGATAACGCACAGTCTCAACCTCAGCAGTTGCCAGAGCGAAAATCCACGGATTACGGTTTGAACTGCTTGACCATCCGCCTTACTCACCAGATCTAGCCCCTAGCGACTTGTTTTTGTTCCATCATTTAAAAATTGCGCTCGGAGGACAGAGATTTTCGTGAAATGAAGAGGCATCACCTTCGTGAACCACAATTTTGCAGAGAAAAACGCCGAGTACTCTTTGGACGGGTTACAGAGATGGGAGCATCGCTGGGAAAAGTGTGTAGAGTTACAAAAGAACTATGTTAAAAAATAAAAAAAAATATTCAGAAAAAATGTCTTGTATGTTTGTTAGGTCGGAAAATTTTCAGACCACCCGGGTATTTTCATAATTTTTTTTAGCAACCTAGTATAGTAGTATAATAAATAATAACATTAATTCATAAACTCTTAGTATTTGGCTTATTATACAGGGTTAATTGAGAGTTGTTTTTTAGTCTATCTTTAAAACGCCCTGTGCAATAATTTCGTTAGGAAATTTTTTTGAAACGTTATTTTTCGGTCAGAACCGAATATTTTGTTTTTTAACTCATATCAACACATGCCTTGGTTAATTTTAACCAAGGCATGTGATGATATGAAAACACACTTTCTGGTAATTTTTGCAACTTTTTAAAATGAGTGGAAGGGGTTGAAATAAACTACCCCTATCATTCTTGTTAACGAAATTTAAAGAAAAATCTTATCAAACACATGCAAAAAAATTAATTTTTTGGATAGTTTAGTTTGTTTAGAAACTTTTTTATCTCTTGTATTTTTTTGATTAAACTCACCGATTTGAAATTAAAAAATAAAATGTAAAACATTACATGCCAGGACAAAAAACATTTTCTGATAAAGAATCTAGTGGGCTGCTGTAATTTTTTTAGGAAAAAATCTAGTCGGCCGCTGTTACTTTTTAGGATGTTCTTAATATTATTTTATTTGACATTACTCTACTGCAATACGTTATTATCTAGATGATTATTATTATCGTTATTATCACTAGATTCTTAATCTAAAAATGTTTTTTGTCCTGACATGTAATGCTTTACATTTTATTTTTTAATTACCAATCGGTGAGTTTTATCAAAAAAACACAAGAGATAAAAAAGTTTCTAAACAAACTAAACTATCCAAATTAATTTTTTTGCATGTTTTTCCGCCATCTTTGTACCGCGATATCTCCCTAATGGTTGACTTTTGACCCAACGTTTATAAAGCAAACTACCCTTTATTTTGAACAAGGAATCACCCCCTAAAGTTTTTCGCATTTGTTTTGAAACACCCTGTATAAATCTATCAACTTTAATTCATAAACTCTTAGTATTTGGCTTATTATACAGTGTTAATTGAGAGTTGTTTTTTAGTCTATCTTTAAAACGCCCTGTGCAATAATTTCGTTAGGAAATTTTTTTGAAAAGTTATTTTTCGGTCAGAACCGAATATTTTGTTTTTTAACTCATATCAATACATGCCTTGGTTAATTTTAACCAAGGCATGTGATGATAATCATTACGTTGATTAACATTTTGCAACTTTTTCAATTATATCGTTACTTTTTGATGTTATTCTTCATAATGACAAGGTGGCGATTGGTGATTATTGTTGTCTACGATTGAATATGGTTCTTAGTGTTGAAGATTGTGCAAAAGTCATTGATCTTGTTGAAGGTGACCGAAATTATGAATATTCTCTTGGTCTTTGACGAAGAATGGGAAAAGATAATACAATATATTTGCAGCCTCATTAAGAGTTGCAGCAATCGACGTCCTACAAACAGTTATAGCAGCCGGGGGAGGCAGTACAAACTATTAGAGTGTGTTTTACAAGTGTTTTGTTTGTTTGTACACTTAGATATAACAGTTATTTCTTTAATATCATTAGTTCTGTTAGTCTTACTAATGTTTATTCAAACGAAGCCAGTATCGTTACTTCTTAACGTTTTTTAAATTTTAATTTAGAGTTTTAACCAGTGTTGATATGTGATTTCGACAATTGGCACCAAAACCACCTCGTGATATTAAAAAATAACATCATAAAATAATGGTAGTTGAAAAAATTCCAAATTATTGGTGGCAAGTTTATTTCGCTCTTAAAAATTAACCAAGGCATGTGTTGACATGAACCAGAAAGGAAAATGCTCAGGAGACATGGTTCTGATCGAATAATAATGTTTTAGGAAAAATAACGCACGAAATTATTGCATAGGGTGTTTTAAAGTTAAGGTAAAAAAACAACCCTTCAATTAATTCTGATAAACCTAATACTAAATTTTATAAAAAATGAGTTTATGAATTCAAGTTGATAGATTTAATATACAATTTGCTAAAAAATTCATGAAAATAGGGCTACAGACTAATCAGTCTGTCAGCCTGTCTTCCTTTAAAAAATGAAAAAGTCCCTTTTGGTTAAGGAATAGAGTATTTATATTGCCATCACTTTTTTAAAATTAAATGCTCTAACTTAGACTATTCTTATTTTTAGATATTCTTCTGAAGTTGATGGTCCTGGCGACCAGTGCGCCCTCTATAAAGTAGGATTTACCCAAGACTTGTACTTCCAGTACATCCGATACAAAACCTCATTACCAGATTTGAAAGAATTCACTCTGTGCTACTGGGCAAAGTTCACCAATCACAGCAATGACCACCCCATCTTCAGTTATGCAGGTAAAGTAACATGTCCCAAAAAATACAATTAATTTTAACTTCTTCAAATTTTCAAAAGAAAATCATCTACTGCCACATTGTTTATTGTTGCTGATAGTTGCTATCAAATATATATAAAGTGCATGCTATGTAAAAAACATTATTGAGAATAGCTGAAAGTTTTCTATCAACTATATGATCTGATGCCAATAAATTAACAAACATATATTTTCAATGCACAAATAGAAGTGAATGTGTTAATGCATTTACAACACATCATTCTACATAAATATGGAGATGTGTGATAAAACAGTCTCATTATGTCTATTAAAGCAAGCTGTCAATTATAAATTAGCTCATTTGTTTGACTAAATAACACTTAAATTGTTATTGATGATTTAGATAGTAAATTTGATATAAAATGTCTAGAAATGAGTATTATTTATTCACATCAAGAGTGTCTGTCATAATTTAAGTAAACTACTTTCTAATAATGAGTTAAAAATTAATTTTATTTATTTGATGTAACCGGGCGTCTTGAAAGTGGCTCACCCCTATAACTTTTTTATTTTTTCAGATAAAAAAACCACATTTGGTTTGTTAGTATATGACATAAATTAGGATTGATTGACGTATCCAATTGTTTTTGGTCACTTCCTGTTTCACCGGAAATGACTACAACTTTTGATTTTTAAATGGCACCCTCGGTATATTTCTACTTTATTCGATAGAAAATGACACTCTCAATAGAATATGCAAAATTTAGATGCAAAAAGTCATTTCCGGTGAAACAGGAAATGACCAAAAACAATTGAATACGTCAATAAATCCTAATTTATGTCATATACTAACAAACTAAAATCTCGTTTTTTATTTGAAAAAAATAAAAAAGTTATAGGGGTGAGCCAGTTTTAAGACGCACCCGGTATATACAGCACTATAATGTTAAAATACCATACCATCGAAAAAAAAAACGGCGTCAGAGATGGTTTAGAAACGAAAATTGCTGTAATTTTGTATGTATTGATTTGGTTTGGTTTGGTCATTTTCAAGCCAACTGTACCCCGTTTTTCATCATAGTACTTATTTGATTACATTGAGTGACATGGTACCTGTTAAAATTGAGAACTGTTCTTACTTGTTTTATCAAAAAAAAGAAGAATAAGGCTAAAATATATTTTTGCTTAATTTTCGAAATTCAAATTAAATCTCTTTAAACTGCTTCAATTAGTTCCTTATTTTCCTGACATACATTTGCAAATGAGTTATAGCCCGAGCAAATCCTACGAAGTTTAAACTTGTTTGAAAGTAAATATCGACCGTTTCGTGGTGATAAATCAATTTGGAAACATCGAAACAAACTAACCGTAGAAAACTACGAGTGTATACATTTTGCCAGGAAATTTACGACGGCTAAGATATTTTAATTTTGTTGTCAAAAAGCCGACAGAAATGGCTGATTCTATTTTAACTGTGATTTTGTATGTCTTGTAAACAGTTTATTCTTCTGGTCGTACATTATTAATCACTTCTTCTTCTTCTCTTACGCTAATTGAAACTACTAACTAATTTATTCCACTAATTGCGAGATTCTGAATTAAGCTTTATTCTAGATATTTTATACATATAACAAGCTAATAGGTCTAGCTGGTGTTGAATGAGCTGTGGTTGTGGCAAATTCTCATGCGCTTATACTACCACAAGTATCATTGATAACATTTTGATATTCATAACATTCTTATAACTTATCTATGTATGTTTCTACTACAAAATTGAATAATAGCTCTGTGTATAAAAATAACAAAACAATGGTTATAGTTTGGTTAGGATTTAAAAAGAATGACCAAAAAAGTAATAGGTAGTGCAGAATCTCCCAAATAAACAATTAATAATAGTAGTTATATTAATAGAGAAAAGTGAAAATGTTCGCAGAAGCTAATAAAGCTAATTGTAACCCGCATCTGGTGTTTTAGAAGGAATAGGATGATATATGGATGGTGAATACTTTCAATTAATATAGTTGTTCTATCGGAATGGGAGCGTTTCGGATTTGATAACAATTAATTATTATTACTGTTCGGTTAATGGGGGTATAATCTCCGGAAGTGTTTTGATAAATATTTCACCTTTTATTTCCTTCTTTCCGTTATTTAATACAGTTTATCTCTATAGCTAGCATTACTACAAAAGAGAGAAAAACAAAATCATCAGAAGAACGTAATAATCTACCGATGGTAGGTTCGATTAAATTTTCATCTTAGATTATACAGGGTGAGTCTTAAATAAGTGCAAATATTTTCAGGGCTGGTAGATTTTGATAAAAGCAATATATTTTCTCTTTACCATTTTTGAAATAATTGTAAAAAACATTTCACTCATACTGTAAAAAGTTGATTTACCGGAATTATAACGTAAATATCTAAAAACGTATACGGGGTGATTTCTAACCTATACGCATAAACTTGGCTTAACCAAAAAAATGTTAGTAAAATATTTTTAGATTTTGAAATAATTTGAGTTTTTTTTCACAAAAATTTATCAACTTTATCAGTAAATTCACATTCAATTTAATGGAATTTACGTTTTTTGTTTTTATTTCAAATAGTTTGTTATCTCTGTAAATAAAAATATTTAGTGCACATTCAATTTAATGGAATTTAGGTTTTTTGTTTTTATTTCCAATAGTTTGTTATCTCCGTAAATAAAAATATTTTACTAACTTTTTTTTTCATTATTAGCCATTATTTGTCATCAGCAATTATTTCCCAACTTTATGCGTATAGGTTAAAAATCACCCTGTATACCTCTGTAGCGGACTCATCTCTCCAAAAAAATCCTATGGGTATTTCACTGTAAGAAAAGATGTTTAGATGTTTACAGAAAATCAGCAAATGCAGACAGATACTTAAATTTCACATCTAATGACAGTATAAGTGTAAAAAAGGTGTTATAAAAAGTTTATATGATAGGGCAAAAATAATATGTTCCGACGACAATTCACTAAACAGAGATATAAACCATATAAAAGATACATTAATATAAAACGACTATCCACTACCTTTTATTGACAAAACATACCAAATACAAACCCCAAATCATAGACAGGATACACACAATGATAACAATACACAATATGTACAACTTACAATTCTATACAAAATACAAAGGAGGCGTTTCGGAAACAATATGAAGGCTAGGAAAACAATATAACATACGAACATCTTTCAAAACACAAAATACATTTAGATCCATTTTAACACACACTAAACCAATGAACACTGGACAACAAACAAGAAATAAAATATACAAAATACCATGTGAATGTGATAAATTTTATATTGGTGAAACATCTATATCTAGACCTTTAAATGTTCGAATTAAAGAACATAAAGATCATTTAAGAAAGGGCGACTTTCACAAATCTAAGATTTTTAAGCATTCATGGGACACAGGGCATTGGGTAGAGTTTAACAATGCAAAAATTATTATGAAAGAAGCGATAGCCTCTAAAAGAAAAATAAAAAAATTCGTTCACAGTAACTGAATTCAGAAAAATTGAAAATTTAGATATTTTAAATAGTTTTTTCTTTTTTCGAGATAGAGATATACTTCCCGAAACGTTAAGCATTTTTTGTCCGTTAGGCAAATTTGTTTATTAGTACACCATTGCTGAAAATTAGTCTCTGGTGGATTAACGCAGTAGTGTTTACAACAATTAACTATTTTATTTTGTAGATATTCTTACAGTGGCGAAATAACTATAAAACTTTTTTTGGAGTAACCCGACTTTGTTTCGTTTATTTAGATTTATATGACGAATGAACGAATAAATGACATTTAAATGAAAACACGATTTTCGTAATAACTCTTCTTAACAACCACCTTGACAGAGCCATTCGAAATACCAAAATAAGTAAACTTTCTCCCATAATAGATGACATTAGAGTTCCATACTACCGTTTTCTGACGTCGAACATCCTTAAAAAGGATTATTTATGGTTTGTTGCCGTTCGCGGCACATTTCTACCGCCTTTCTGGCATTTCAAACGTTTTATCAACTATTTCACGTCTGGTTTGCTAGCCAGCGCATTAACGATAATTTATAAGTTCGTTTACAACGATGTCCCGAGTCGTTTATATTGTGAGAATTAAGTTTACAATGCGCTTAATGCTTCTATTATAACTACGTCGCTTTGGGTTGTGTTTTAACAACTGATACGAGTGGAAAAGCAGATGTTATGCGGCATTAGCGACACTTAACGCAGGCTTTAAATTAATTTCGCATGATGTCTGTGATTTGCATCCCAAAAACAGTTACGGAAAATGTAAACTATTGATATACAGTCAGCAGGTCGCACAGCGCTCATTGGAAATATGCTCGGAATAACCAAGAAAGACCGTAAACTAAAAATAGAGTTGATATGACCAAAAACCCAGGAAATAAATGTCATCCGCAGAGTCAAATCACTCAAATGGCAATGGGCAGGACACCTGGCAAGAAGAACGGACAACAGATGGATCACGAAGAATTAATAGACCTAGAAGAAGACCGAACCTGAGATGGTATCTTGATATTAGGATATTAGCAGGGATAACTTGGGCCCCCATAGCCAGCAATAGACGACAATGGGCCCAACTACAAAGAGAGTATGCGAGGGAGGCTACACCATAATTGGAAATGGTTGAATAAGCTGAAAATGATGACGATGATGCGATATATATAATATTCAATATAAATAATTCTCTGCAATATAAATACTAGCCAGTAATTATTAACAAAAATAAAAATTCGTATGCCTAGCTCTAATAAGCCGATGTCAATTTGGAGTTATACAAAACCTCAAAATCAATCGATCTGTGGTACGTAGAGATACCTCTTCACGTTCTATTTTCGCGCTGCAAGCTCATTAACGCTGTCAGTAAATCTGCTCTCCAATTACATTACAGGTCTCTCTATTTCCCTTCCAGTGAATGACCAACCGAAATCGATTTATCGCTCGGTGTTGAGTGATTTCGGCACGATTTTGTGATGTTATATAACGAGGAAAAACTGTAGATGTGTATGTAGGAATATTGATTTTCTATATGAAGAATAGAATGTCATATCGGATTTTTATTTATTCAGGTATGATTTAATGAAACCTTCAGATTAAATGAATTTATGTCTTACTATTATGGAACCAACTTATAAGTTGGTTGTATAAGTTGGAATAATGTATATTATGTTGGAATAATAATTTTATAAACGTTTATAAGCTTGGTGCATTTCAGTTAATTTAAAAAAATTCCGACCGCGGCGCTGTATACGGAGGAAATCAAAAATTTTCGCTATGTATTTCACGCCGGCCGTTTCGTTTACAGTTCAGGTTGACCGCATTAAAATAATATTCAAAACCTGGCTTTGTCAATAACTCAAGTTTCCAGGCTATTCGACTCTCCCGAAATAACATTTTATAGCTTCATAATTTCTCACACCAATTTGATCAAAAGCAAAAATGGATTCAAGCAGTTCGACGAAATAAGTGAATAAACAAAGTGCTCGTTTATGTGAGGATAAAATATAATTTACAACATTAATGGTATACTTTTTTTAAGCAACTAGTGGTTAAATGTTTTATGAACATCTTCTAAAATTATGTAAAAATTCGTTATAGAAGAAATAGCCCGGTGCGTAAAACTATGCTCGCTACCGTTTTTTAGCTGGAATAATAAATTATAATACAAGTCAGACCTTTTTTTTTGCAACACAATAACTGATCAATAAATAAACGTTAGTAAGTATTTTGTGCTAAAAACTTTGATACCTTGAGAAATGAAGCCTTAAAACTTTTACTGCAATTTCACAAAATTGAAAATATTTCAACAACGGTAGGGCTTAAGTGTGATAAATATACAGAGTGTTCTATTTAAAAAATACAACTTTGATATTTTTATTTGTTTGGGACACCCTGTATCTTGTAAAATATCTTTAAATTCTAGCTCTAATAGTCCTTCAACGAACCCAAAACTTACAATCTGGAAAAGTCTAATCGGTTAGCTACAATAGTGTCGTATGTGGTGAACAACCCTGTATAATACTTTAAACTTGACAAAAAAAAATCCGTTGCGTTTTCTTGCATGTGAGTGTATTATCAGAAAAGAAGCACTATACCAGTATAAACATAATAAATCATACTAGACAAAACCCATTGACTTTAACATCCATAAATTTAAATCAGCTTCTCCTATAGTTTGTTTTCATACACACACGCCAACCTCATTTCCCACCCCAATAAACACCCACCACGTTCGATTACACCCCCCGCCGTAATAATTCAGCCCCATTTTCCTTTCCAGTCGACGGTCAACCGAAGGCCATCTACGCCTGGATATCGAACACCGAACGATCCAGCTACTTCAGCCTGGCGCTGGACGGGCAGACGTTCTACCGGCTCAACTACCCCCTGCGCCTGAATCGTTGGTATCACACGTGCCAGAGCTGGAACGGAAAAACCGGAGAGTGGCAGATATGGGTCGATGCGGAGAGGGTGGGACGCGGATTCAATAACAGGGTAAGTCTGGTCTGGATAGAGTTTTGTTTTTTGACAGGGCGAGTCTCAAAATAAGTACAAATATTTACAGGGCTGGTAGATCTCGATAAAAGAAACAGGTTTTCTCTTTGCCGTTTTTCAGATAAGTCCAAAATAACTGAGTTATTCAAGTTTGAAAATTAAAAAAATGCTATTTTTTGAAAAAAATTTGAGAGCTATCGGATTTTTTCCCTGCAATTTGTTCCTATAATTTTAATCTACTACCGATGTCACGTTTTTAAGATAAGTATTAAATTTTGTAACTAAAAATTTCAAAATTTCACTTAAATGGTAGATATTTATTTATTACACGCCACCAAAAAGTATTGCAAGGGTGCGTGTCTTTTTTTAATGGTCTTGACTCAAGAACAGTTAACCTAATAGGACTGCTCATTCAGCCAAAAGTGTCCGCCAGGTGCATGCGAAAACTACTCGCTTTGTGACGTCATTGTAGTCCTTGTCATTGTTATTAGTCCTTATCCGGCAACCAATAATACACACACGTGCATTATTAGTTGCCGAATGCAAAACGTTCATCATTTAGTTTATTTATTTAAACACCTTATATGTATGGAGTATAGAAAATTGACTGTATAAATCGTATTAAATACTCGGATAATGCATTTTTAAGAACAGCAGTTCCCAGCATCACCTTTTGCAAGCATTCGTTTTAGAGTACTTCCATATTTTGCTTTAAAACAATCAATAAACAAAATCGTGGGGACTTAGTAAGCACTTTGTCACAATCCATAACACAAAATGAACGTATTTATACACTCTATAGCTCTAAAAACTTTAAAGGCATCTTTTTCACATTTAAAATTGACAAAATAATTAACTCAAAATTTCTCAGCTGTTATTTTTATCAGTTTACCATAGGCAACTAATAATACACATTATCATGACAAGGCTTTGACAAGGATTACAATGACGTCACAAACAAATTTAAAAGAAAATGCACGATTTTCAACATCTTTCTTTGCGAAAAAACCTCATAGACGTGTTCCTGGGGTCGAAATATAACACCCTTGAAAATATCTGCACTTATTTAAGACTCACCCTGTATATTTATTGTGTCCCCCTTTCTTGAGTTATAACACATCGTACAGTCTCAGGGCTTTGCCAAAATCACAACATTATAAAGTACCTAATATAACTACAATGTTTAGAGGCCTTCCTTAGAGTAGGCTTACATCAAGATTTTATTTAACCTTCAGAATTTTTTAACGTATTAAAATATTATTAATATTTTGTAAATTTCAGTTGGTAGGACATAAGATTCCATCAGGAGGCATCGCCATCACTGGACAAGTCCAAAGCCAATTAGGAGGTGGCTTCCAAGAAGGCAAAGAAGCTCCTAAAGGTAAGTAATAACAAATTAAAATAAAACAACAAATAAAGCCATTTTCCCTACAGGCTCTGGTGGAATACTAGGGGAAATCACCATGGTTCAGCTATACAACGTCGCTCTGACAGCTGGTAAAGCTCACAAGGACCACAAACACCACCACGCTCACCAGTACGATCACGACGGAAACGCGATCACTACTCCCGCCCCTACAACACCAAGCAACCGTCCTCAACTACCCACACATCCCCTACTTACTGGAGGACAGCTTAATAGAGGTACCAGGATCAATTTCGCGACTGGACAGCAACCTCAGATCATTCAAGGCCAGGAGTACAACGTGGGATACGCTAACGGTCAACTTGTCGGAGGAGTCGTTACTCAACAGCTGACCAAGGCGCAGTTAGCACAGCTACAACAGCAAGGAATCCAAAGAGTACCTGTATTTCCTCAACAACAACAACAATTCTTCTCTCCACCTCAAAGACTACCTCCCCAGCAACCCCAGCAACAAGCTTTATTCCCTCAAGGTTTTGGCAATTTTGGAACTGGAAGTGGAGCAATAAACTTAGGCAATGGAGGTGTGATAAGCAGTAATTCTGCAGGAGGAAACCCTGCAAATGTACAATTCGTTGATAATACTTACGGAGGACATGTTTTGTTCAAAAGACAAAACGATGAAGCCAGTGAAGCGGAAGTTAAGGAACCTCAATTTGGAGACAGAATAATTAAGAAACGCGAAACAGAGAAAAGTACGACAACGAATAAGCAGAAGAAACGAGAGCTGTTCGTTGGAGGCGGTACGATTTTAGATGATCAATTTTCTGGTCCCAGTGGAGTGGGTGGACAGGTATATCAACAAAGTCTTCTCTATGGTTTGGCTGGTATAGGTGAAAACAAGCCTATTTTAAGACAGCAGAAGCAAAGTGATGAACGAGAACCAGCCGAAGCTGAGGTAAAGGCAGTCATGAACGTTTGCTCAGGTTGTGATCCAGAACCCTTCGACAAAGCTCTGGTGTTTGGATGGAGAACGGTACCTAAAAAATTGTTTTCCGGTGCTTTTTACAGTCCGGCAGTACCTCGGTGTAAAGCTTTCTAACTTTAGAACGAGGTTTGAATGATTTAGGTCTTTTTGTACATATTTAATATAGACTTTTTAAGTTATCGTCGTCATTGCCATCGCTATGAATAAGTCACCACACGTCCATACCTTCATCTAATCGTACAATTTATATTATTTCTTGTTGTTGATTGTTTTGTACCCTACCTAATAGTATTATAATTTAATTTAATGAAAATGATATAAATAAAATAATTTCGAAGAGTAATTTAATAGTTTTTAGTAGATATAACTATAAATTAACTACTATAAATACAGGGTAAGTTAATATTTATAGTGGTGGTATATTTCAACTTCAGTAATATGTGACAAAAAAAAGAAAATTTTGTATTTTTCGAATAGAATGACACATTACACGTCAACTTTTGACATTTTTGCATATGGTTTATTTGAAATTATAACATGACAATGGGCTCTTTCACTATATTTTGGAAATCGCATAATTGAATAAAGCGATTAATTCTAGAATTTTCTGCTATCTTACTTTCTAAAAAGTTGAAGTCGTTCTTAAGAAAATAAATAAAAACAAAAAAGCCCAGAATAAAAATCCGCACTTTATTTTTAATACGTCACACCTGGCATGTTGAAAAGCGGCAACACCGCCGGGCCACCAAAATCGTTAACCATACCGGGTGAGTATCAAAAGTGGCTCACCCCTATAACTTTTTTATTTTTTTTCAGATAAAAAAACGAGATTTGGTATGTTAGTATATGATATAAATTAGGATTGATTGGGTGTATTCAACTGTTTTTTTGTCACTTCCTGTTTCACCGGAAATGACTACAATTTTTGATTTTTAAATGGCACCCTCGGTATTTTTTTACTTTATTCGATAGAAAATGACATTCTGAATAGAATGACATATCATATGTCAACTTTTGACATTCTCGCTTAATCAAAAATTGTATTTTAAAATTCAATCTAAAGTGCCATGACTATGTTAAAGACACTAATTCTTCATCAAGGAGTCTTGGAAAAATAGATTGGATCGTCTAATGTTTTTAGTGTCTTGTCCTGGCCAGCTAGAAAATGCTCAAATCGTATTTTTAATCATATCTCAATATTTTCAAATGAAACTAGGGTGGCTCATTAGCATATTTGGAAAAAGCATTTTTTACGAATAATTTGATACCACACACTTGGTACTTCGAGTCAAATTTTCGTTACGAACGGCAAGTTATAATTTCAAATAAATCATATGCGAAAATGTCAAAAGTTGACATATGGTATGTCATTCTATTCAGAGTGACATTTTCTATCGAATACAGTAAAAAAATACCGGGGTTGTCATTTAAAAATCAAAAGTCGTAGTCATTTCCGGTGAAACCGGAAGTGACCGAAGATAATTGAATACGTCAATCAATCCTAATTTATGTCATATACTAAAATACCAAATCTCGTTTTTTAACTAAAAAAATAAAAAAGTTATAGGGGTGAGCCACTTTTGAGACTCACCCGGTATATATATATTGTGTTTAAATATGGCAACATTCAGTGGTTTTCAAAAGCAGCCCCAAAAATAATTGCACTTATTTAAGACACCCTCTACAGTGATGATTTTAAAAAAGCTTGACTACTTTCTCTCAAAAACCAATATAAAGCAGCTACAATTTTTTTTGAAATTGCAATATCTCAACTTAACAAAGAATAAAATGTTAATCTATAAATCTATTTAAACAAAAATCGATTAAATGTCTAAAAGAAAATTTATCGGTGTTCTGTACAGTTAAAATTGAAATTCTTACAGGGGCTTTCTGCTGAATCGGAACTAATTTAAATTAAAACTTTAAGCAAATTTAAACAATAAATTTGAAAAGAAAATTATAGAACAGGTGCTTGAGCAAGAATCATGACAGTTATGTCAATTTTATTCCTTTGTATTCTTTAGTTACATTGAGTTACTGTGTAGTAAAAATAACCATGTTGAAAATCCTAGAAAATCTAGATTCCCACAACTCTCAGCTAATATGAAGTGTGACAGCGAGGAAAATGCATGTTTTTAAATAATGGTTTTAAAAAATAGTTCATATAATTACAAATTGAACAAAAAAAAATCGTTGATATCGGTTAAGAAATGCCTCTAATATAAAATAATTAAATATTTTACTACCGCGCCTTGCCGCTGTGACGTCACCCGCCGTTCTTCTGCCTTGAGTGGAGCCAGACGCGTGTTTATTTTACACAGTTTGCTTTTAAACGCTGTTGAATCCGAGTCAAAATTTTAGTTATTTGTGTTAATTAATACATAATTAGTAATTAGTGATATTTATAAATAGTAATGGATGAGCGAAAACAGAAAAAAATGGTCCAAGGCCACAAGAAGAGATGAAAAGAAAAACGTTAAATTATCTTCTATTTTTACGATTTATTGTTGTGAAGATCATTTTCATGTAAGTTCATATATTTATGTATATTGTCTTACATAGGTATATGAAATTTGAATGTACAGGGTTATTCATTATATTTTGACACCCACATACAGCCTTAACTGCAAGTAGAAGAAAACATTAAATAAAAAAGTTAATAAACAATAAAAATAAATTAAATTAAATTTATATGGATAATTTTATTAATATTGTTATCAAAAAGTTTCTTTTATTTTTTAATACTCCAAATCAAGTAAAATAAGTGTACAATTTGAGTAAAGCCAAATTGATGAAGTTATCTTTGTTAAATAAAGTGGAGTTAAATTTAATGCCGCCATTAAAAGTCTAAGTGCGCGATTGATCTTCCGAGAACAATGCGTCTTACAACTCACTTATGCCCGAAGCAACTTCCTGCGAGGCTTAACTGCTGAAAATATGACCGTAATATATTTTTGAGTGCATAGTTTGTAACGAGCGACTACGTTATCCTGAAAATTGATATTAGTTCTGTACCTAGCTTAATTTTGTCAAGTTATTTTAGTTGTAATTGACAATTATTTTGACGGAAAAAAATTTACATCTCTCTACTTTTGAATTAATCAAATTATCAATTAGCTTGTGACCATGGCAACCAGAAATTTTTACCTTAATGTGTCTTGATTTTTATTAATTCTGGGTGGAACTTTTTCCAACAAAAAAATTAAATTGGTTTTTATCAACCCTTAATTTTTTTTGTAATCTCTAGGATCATGTAACTTTACCTTAGGTCTTTGAATAAGAAGACTAAGGAAGGAGCATAATGCTATCCATGTATTCATGCACAGTGGGCGGAAAAAGCACCATAAAAGCACTCTAGGGTGGGAATCCTTGACAGTTCTGTTTAACGATTCGTTGGACACATTTGAATTTGATTTGAAATTTTGTGGATTTGTCAGCCTTTACGGAGCTTATTTTATGTTATTTATTATTTATTCTACTACTGATAGTTGTATAAAGGTAGTAAATCTAGATGGAAATTGTGGCAGAACTTAAATTAACAGTGACACTATCGCAATTTTTCGAAAAAGACTCTAAGAAATAATGGAACAACTTTTCGCTAGTAAGTGACTATATAATATACATACGTGTAGTAAACCGATCATTTATGAAATTCACTTAAATTAACTAAATTATATATTTTTTTTGCATTTTAGCTTTTATTTATTACTTGTCAAAGATTAGATGTCAAAGAATTTAGATACGTTAATTTGACTTACCTGCTTCAGTAGCGTATCGGATGTTTGTGTTAATAAATACTTATTATAACTTATCTATTTTATTAGAATTATATATTTTATAACAATTTTAATAACTACCAACATTTATTCACAACGTAAAATAAAACAACAAATTATTGAGTCTACCCCACGTCTACCCTACATCATAGTTTTACATTTTTTAAATAAAATTAGAACGACACTGATAAACCGGAATTTAAGTCGGCCATATTTGAGGCCCATCGCGGTGTACCTAAGATTTTTGATATGCTCCTTCCTTAGTCTTCTTATTCAAAGGCTTAGGTATATATAGTTCATATCAAATAGACTTTCAGTCACGTGATTAAGCTTGACCGGCACAACGTTGCCCTTTTTACATATTATACAAAAATAAATTAATTATAAATATATAAAAAATTATTATTTATATCAACAAGCTCACCTTTTTAACATCACTTAAGGGACACAAAGTGACATTACTACCGCTTTCTCGTTCAAAATATTCTAATAAAGTTGCTAATAAGCTATCTTGTACTACTTCGCACTAAAAGAGGTTCTAAAAAGAACAATTTGCTGCAAGGTTTGCTGGTAAAAACTTTTAATCTTAAAATAACACAAAACAATTCATTTAAACCAAAAACTGGTATTTCAAAACTAAAGTGTCAAAGCCGAATGACAATGTCAAAAAATAAATAAATAAAAGTGGCAACTTGACATTTTTTACAGCAGCGCCACCACCTGATTACTTAAGTGATTAATTATCAATTATTTATTAATTTTTGGATTGATAATTATTTTTATATAATATGTAAACCTTAATCGTCAATAAAGAGTTATAAAAATTAATTTTGTTAACACTCACTCCTTTAAGTTTGATCATATTAGAAATAAAAATCTTGTAAGTATCAAATAATAATAAGATTCAGATTGTATAGTTATTGTGCCACAATTACCATTATAGCTAATTAATGATGTGGGATAATCTAATCAGTTTTACGTTGATTTGTAAATAAATGAAGAATAATAAAAAAAAACTTACCTTGCTTTTATGGATGTGCTGGTGCTGATATTCCGAGTCGAATTCCGGTTCAGAAAAGTAACTAGGATCTTCGAAATGGCCGACACCTCCAGCTATTCCGATTCCTGCCATAGGTAGACCTCCAGAGACATCAGCTGATTCGAACAGTCTGAGCACAGACCGATCTCTGATCTCTCTTAAGTGCGATCTATTAAAAAATGTAAAAAATCAATTAATACGGGTTATAGGAGATATTTTTGATATACAGTATGTCCCCGAATTGTCATATTGAGAGGAAAAACTTTTTTATTTTATGCAAGGGTAGAATAAATGATACTTTAACAGCGAGAATAGGTTAAAAACTTTATTTCTTCTCGCACGTTTTTTAATTGCTTCAATTTTTGAAAATTTTTCATTTTGAAAATGGAAGTAGTTTAGATATGGCGTTTGTCGCCTCAGCCTCAATATCTGTTGGTAATTTACTTATTTCGTTTTGAGCCATTTCTGTCTCCAATACAATCAGCAATCGACACGAAAGAGAATTAAAAAATATTGACTCAAAACTGACAACTAAAGAGACAGCTTTATTTATTTGTCAAATTACGTAGAAACCAACGCCAACCGAGGACAATATTTTTTCTACTCGTAACAAATTCCTTGAAATAATAATTCCTGAATATTTTTTAAAGCGTAACTCGGTATGGAAAAAAATATTGTTTTATACACGACGATAAAATTGCATTATCATCTCCCGAAAATCTTTTCGGTAATAGATTAAATACCATTTTATCGTCTTGTATAAAAAATAACTATAAATGTATTCTTCAGAAAGAGATTTGCTTGATTGCCTAAAATGGTTAATCCTTTTTATACTTTTCCAACTATCACTTCTAAACTATTCTAAGGATTTTAACGTCAAATATATCAGTATTTGAATGAGTTCCCAAAATCAGTTACTGAGAAAAAAAGAACTACCTTAAATCTTCCAGTTCGTAAAACATGTCCTTGGAGGAGTCGTGGATGTAGATTTTGACGTTGGGGGAATCCAGATATTCCATCGTCAGCTGTTTGGGAAACGACCTAACGAACAGCGCCTTCACCGTATCGATCGAGGTGATTTCGTTGGGTAGGAGGGCCCTTTTCGTCTCGTTACGGTATTGCAAAAATACTAAACCTGGAAAGATAAATAAAACAGTTCCACAAAATGTCAGTGTCGGTGAAGCTTGAGAAGATGGAGTTCCAAATATAGAAATAAAAATAAAAAATTCAAATGCTTCTTCTGGCTATTTGCTAAACTTCATAAAAAAAATTTGGTTGCTATCAGTTTGTACGAAATTTAACAGGTTGACTGTCCAGCGGTTATACTGTGTGGTGCATCGATACACGGGACATAGGAAATCCCATGTAAATTTTGAAAAGGTCAAAAATTATCTCCCCAGATTGTTTTATGCAAAAGTTGTATTAGATTTTTTTGAAGAGGGGTTAAAGTTGCACCAATTTGAAGGTAGATTTTTGCTAATAACTTGTAAATGACTATTCCAAGTGATTCTAGACAAAAGTACAACTTTTTTTGCACAAAATCATCTGGGGATATAATATTTGACATTTTCAAAATTTACTTTAAATCATTTTTTAAAAAATATTTCTTTTGTAGATTTTCTCAAATAACTCGAAATCTGTTAAAGTTATCGAAAAACGGTTTACGGCATTCAATTCTACATAAAATGAAATATCAGTGAGTATATTTTAGTTGCGATTTGAGAGACTTCGGCTTTGACAAAATCGACAGGGGGTACCGAGGAATTTTTTCGAAAAATTTTGGAAAATCGATTTTGCTTATATCGTAATATGTTGTAGCGCTGAATGTGTACTTTCCAAAACCGTATAGTTTTTGAGATTGACATTTTTTGTTCCAGAGATATTTGGTGCTAAATGTTTCGGAAATCAAAAAAAAATCTTTTGTAGATTTTCTCAAATATCTCGAAACCTGTTAAAGATATCGAAAAACGGTTTACGGCATTCAATTCTACATAAAATATATCAGTGAGTACATTTTAGTTGCGATTTGAGAGATTTCGTTGTTTGACAAAATCGACAGGGGGTAGGTGCCGAGGAATTTTTTCGAAAAATTTTGGAAAATCGATTTTGCTTATATCGTAATATGTTGTAGCACTGAGTGTGTACTTTACATAACCGGATCGTTTTTGAGATTGGGACTTTTTGTTCCAGAGATATTTGGTATTAAATGTTTCGGAAAACAAAATTCCAAATATTTTAATTTTTGGGATTTCCTATGTCCCGTGTTACAATTCACCGTATGGGATATGACCGCTAATGAAAATGATGTTAAAATAACGATCTAGCCATCGACGTAGATCAGTCTGACTGTGACTAAATGCGCCTAAATCTGTCTTAAATTTCAATCTAGAGTGCCATGGATTTGTTAAAAACACAAATTTTTAATCAAGGGGCCTTGGAAAAATAGATTTGATCGTCTAATGTTTTTAGTGTCTTGTCCTGGCCTGGAACGAGGGTGGAAGCATTTTTTTACGAATAATTTGATACCACACACTTGGTATTTCAAGTCAAATTTTCGTTACAAACCGCAAGTTATAATTTCAAATAAACCATATGCGAAAATCTCAAAAATTGACATATGATATGTTATTCTATTCAGAGTGTTATTTTCTATCGAATAAAGTAAAAAAATACCGATGGTGCCATTTAAAAATCAAAAGTTGTAGTAATTTCCGGTGAAACAGGAAGTGGCCGAGAACAATTGAATACGTCAGTCAATCCTAATTTATGTTATATACTAACATACCAAATCTCGTTTTTTAACTGAAAAAATAAAAAAGTTATAGGGGTGAGAGACTTTTTTTTTGGAAAATCGATTTTGCTTATATCGTAATATGTTGTAGCACTGAGTGCGTACTTTACATAACCGGATCGTTTTTGAGATTGGTACTTTTTGTTCCAGAGATATTTGGTATTAAATGTTTCGGAAAACAAAATTCCAAATATTTTAATTTTTGGGATTTCCTATGTTCCGTGTTACAATTCACCACATGGTATATGACCGCTAATGAAAAAGATGTTAAAATAACGATCTAGCCATCGACGTAGATCAGTCTGACTGTGACTAAATGCGCCTAAATCTGTCTTAAACCTCGCGACTGATCAGTGTACTTTAGCGGATTTTATTTGCATTCAGGTATCACATGAAAACAATGTCAGTTGAAAAAATGTTTGACTAAAACTGTTTTGCCTGTTTCTGCGTGTGCGTCCTGCCTATAAAGGAAAAGCCGAAAGTTTGTCGTAAGTACAGAAAAGAAATAAGCCTAAAATGAACTTTTAATTGAATCTTACTTAACGGCTACTTAAGAAAAAAAACTTTCGAGATACCAGGTTTAAATGGTTTTCTTTTCCGACTGATAAAGGAGAGAAGAAAGTAAAAAACAGGAATTAAATTTTCCAAATTCTTTATTTGGAAGTGCGTTCTTTTGTAATCATTTTTCTTTTTATTAACTTATTTTCGGCTTAAAAGTTAACAAAAGCTCTGAAATAAGAGGGAAAAACATTCTTTTTAACAAATTTTGATTTTGTATCTAATTTTAGGAGTCTATTTTTGTACTCTACAGGTAAAAAAAACAATTATCAAGTAAGTTCGTCAGTTTAAAAAGATTTAATCGAGAAAAAGTGTGCATAGTTTTTTAGACTGTGTTGCAGACACTAGTCCATAATATGTTAAGTTTATTTTGAAAGCCCTTCAGTAATAAATTTATTAATTTACATTTAGTTTTATTTATTAATAAAATTCGTGTTTTCTAATACAGATTTCTTAGGTCAAGCACACAATTGAAGTAGCCGTATAGTTGGAATATTCGCGTGAGAATCGTTAAATATTTCATTTTTTTTGGACAACTTCCAATGGCTTAATGCCATTGTCGTATGCACTGCCGCTTGCAGTTATTTTATGATTTAGTACATTCCTATTCAGAAGTACTTAGAACATTACTAATTGGCTCAAAAACTGAGTTTTTTAATTTATTTAATTCAATAGATTCTACGATAAATTTGCCTTTAGAAGCCCTGTGCTAAAACTAATTTAGTTATTACTCAAAACTGAATAATAAAACCAAAGTCTATACAGGGTGCGTCTCAAAAGTGACTCACCCCTATAACTTTTTTATTTTTTCAGATAAAAAAACAGGTTTTGTATGTATATGACATAAATTAGGATTGAATGACGTATTCAATTTGTTTTTGGTCACTTCCTATTTTACCGGAAATAACTACAACTTTTTATTTTTAAATTCTCAAAATAAGTTTTTTTTTACTTTATTCGATAGAAAATGACACTCTGAATAGAATGACATATATGACATATCATATGTCAACTTTTGATATTTTTTCATATGGTTTATTTGAAATTGTAACATGCGGTTCATAACGACAATTTGACTCGAAATACCAAGTGTGTGGTACCAAATTATTCGCAAAAAATGCTTTTTCCAAATATGCTAATGAGCCACTCTCGTTTAATTTGAAAAAATTGAGGTATGATTAAAAATACGATTTGGACATCTTTTAACCGGCCAGGACACGAAAAACATTAGATAATAAAATATATTTTTTCAAGGCTCCTTGATTAAAAATTAGTGTTTTTAACACAGCCCTGGCACTCTAGATTGAAATTTAAAAAACGTTTTTTTTAAAGCGAAAATGGCAAGTTGACATATGATATTCCATTCTATTCAGAGTGTCATTTTCTATCGAATAATATAAAAAATACCGAGGGTGCCATTTCAAAAACAAAAATTGTAATCATTTCCGGTGAAACAAGAAGTGACCAAAAACAATTGAATACGCCAATCAATCCTAATTTATGTCATATACTTTAAAATTTCTGTTCTGTTAAAAAAAGGTAAAACGAATAATTTTTTTGCCTACTTGGGATTCTCTTAATTGTTGCCAAGACTACTATATTTACAAAAACTTTACCTAGTGGCCTCTCCAACGTCTTGCTTGGTGTCCTAACAACCGGCAGTGAGCTTCTCTGTTTGCCACCTCTTCTGAAGCCCGTTGAGCTCGTTTCGACCTCTGACATGATACCTGGGTCATCATCAAACAGCATCGCATTCGACGGAGGAAGATAACCCCGATGATGACCCTGGAAATAAAAAAAAATGCTAAAAACTAAAAATACGAATCAGTCAATTTTTTTAAAATAAAAAAAATGTTATTTTTTTTGTGAAATATCTTTTTTTGTTATCTCCACAGCAACTCATCTGTTGAATTGGTTTGTGTGCATTTATGATAACTGACTCACTGGATTCAGATGGACATAACAGTGATAACTAAGAACCAAAGTGAGACAATAAAATTTGTTAAACACTGCGATTCACTTACAACTACTACTACTGCCATTACTCGCTGACGACTATTTTACACGCATCAGAAGATGGTTACGCATGGCGTTTTCTTTCATGAGCTTTTCTGTGACTGAAAAGCCCGATACCCTCGATGTTATCTCTCTTCCTATTATTTTCATTAGATAGTACATTATTATTCGCTATTCCCAATTTCTAAACCCAAAAGACCAACACAGATAAATACGCTATCGTTTTCTCTTTTGAACTAGTCTATTCAGCATTAAACCCCAAAGAACCGATGGCTTTAATAGGGCCGTTTGTACACTTCTCACGTCTTTTATCACTCTATATCGATTACCTTTTTAATCTCGGCATTCCAGGGCCGAAATTCGTCCAAAGTCCAAATTAAGCGCGCAGTTTGCCCCTGTTAAGACAAAAGATCTCTCTCTTTGAGACCATCGATTAGATTCTCAATGACGTTCTAATTTTGTTGTTCCAGAGATCATGACACTTATTGTTAATAGCATTCTTCGGGTGTTCCTTATTACCGATTCTGAACAGACCAATGACTGTGATACGCATGCGCAGAAGGAAATATGCGTCATTTTTTTATCATCTGCGCATCCCCTGTAGAGTTCTAAGACAGGCTCAAAATCGGTAATAAGAAAAACCCCAAGAAGGCTGTTGAAACGCCAAATATTCCAAACTCAATTTTATTTTTCTTATAAAGATCATGAGATCAATGACAAAAATAAAATCCGCATCATATACAAAAATGTGTTAAAAGCAAAGATTTTTAAAAAAAGTATGCGTAAAACTTTTAAGGTTTTTCTGATACATTTCAATTACCTTTTTGACTTTGGATATTCCAGGTTGTAACGTAATCTTCACATTCACAGGTTCATCAGGCTTGAAAGCATACGACTGCCGGGAAATATTCACTAGACCTTTACTGCGATTCTCACCAGTATTTCCAACACTTTGTTCAACTACAGAACTGTTCACTGATGAAAGAGAACTCGCAGAGTCAGTAAAAGAAATCACGCTGGCCACAGGGTTGAAATTCACGTGTTTTGGAAATGGATGTTTGGCATTCGACTGCTTTTTTTGACATTGGTAGCGTAGTGATGGTACAAAAGCGGATGTCATTTCGAGTTTAGGTGGTAAAGACACGATACTTTGTGTAGACATCTTGATAGTTTCCTATTTTTGTTCAGTTCAACACTGATTATACCGGGTGCGTCTCAAAAGTGTCTCACTATAACTTTTTTATTTTTTCAGATAAAAAAAAGAGATTTGGTATGTTAGTATATGATATAAATTAGGATTGATTGACGTATTCAATTGTTTTTGGTAACTTCCTGTTTCACCAGAAATGACTACAACTTTTAATTTTTAACTGGCACCTACGGTATTTTTTTACTTTATTCGATAGAAAATGACATTCTGAATAGAATGACATATCATATGTCAACTTTTGACATTCTCGCTTAATAAATTGGATTTTAAATTTCTATCTAGAGTGCCATGGCTTTGTTAAAAACACAAATTTTTAATCAAGGGGCCTTGGAAAAATAGATTTGATCGTCTAATGTTTTTAGTGTCTTGTCCTGGCCAGTTAGAAAATGCTCAAATCGTATTTTTAATCATATCTCATTTTTTTCAAATGGAACGAGGATGGCTCATTAGCATATTTGGAAAAAACATTTTTTTACGAATAATTTGATACCACACACTTGCTATTTCAAGTCAAATTTTCGTTACAAACCGCAAGTTATAATTTCAAATAAACCATATGCGAAAATCTCAAAAATTGACATATGATATGTCATTCTATTCAGAGTGACATTTTCTATCGAATACAGTAAAAAAATACCGGGGTTGTCATTTAAAAATCAAAAGTTGTAGTCATTTCCGGTGAAACAGGAAGTGGCCGAGAACCATTGAATACGTCAGTCAATCCTAATTTATGTTATATACTAACATACCAAATATCGTTTTTTAACTGAAAAAATAAAAAAGTTATAGGGGGTGAGAGACTTTCGAGAAGCACCCGGTATATTCGTCTTTATAATAATTTTGGCCATAAAACATTTGTCATTTGCAGTTTAGATGGTAAAAAACGCTGCTTGGAGTTTACAATAATCACGCACGTAAGGTCTGCAGCAATTTTTATTATCTTACTATACTAAATGGTAAAAATTTTTCAGTTTAGATGTTAGCACCATCTACAGATACTTCGACAAGTTAGTTTAAAAATCGCTGTTGACGATAAAGTGATGCTAATCGTGATGCTAACAAGATTAAGACTTATTTTTTTCTAAATTACTTGCAGATACCATTTCGACACATTTATAGTTCAAATAGGAAGCTGCAGTGAAATCAATTTTATTTGTAGAATTTTTATATATTCTTATTGTTTGTTTTAGGGACAGTATATTCAAAAATTTTGATTTTAATTAAGTCATCTATATTATGGCATGTTTATTTTAACTATTTACGGTGTAAATTTAAGGAAACTTTTTGGAAAAATATTAAATTCATTAAACAATCTCGTGTTAACATGTTCGAAACTTCGAGCGGGATAGATAAAGTTAAGGCTTAAATTTTAGTTTGCATCAGCTTTAACATCATTTATCTAGAACTTCTTGCAACTTTCAATACCCGCGCTTGAAGCAAAACGATTTGGTAAATAAAATAACACGGATTATCGGCATACGTAAACGTTTTACTTGATAAATCATCACATTATTAAACTAAAAGTAGTATAAGTTAAATTAATCATCAGAACATTAGTTTAAGTCATCTGTTTATGAAGGGTGTTAACATGGTTAACCAAACGTGTAGTATTGTCTATTTTTTTCAATACAAAAGGTGATAAATTAAATAAAAAACTGCGAAAAGCAAATTAACATTTTTCATAGTAAAAAGATACGTATACAGCAAGTCAGTAAATTCTGCCTAGTTGGATGAGAGAGGATTAGATAGATCACATCTAAAAGTTTAGACACTTAGGTACTACCAAACTATACCGGGTGGGTCTCAGATAAATGAACGAGATTTGGTATGTTAGTATATGACATAAAAAATACAATTGATTAACGTATTCAATTGTTTTCGGTCACTTCCTGTTTCACCGGAAATGACGACAATTTTTGATTTTTAAATGGCACCCTCGGTATTTTTTTATTTTATTCGATAGAAAATGACACTCTCAATAGAATGACATATCATATGTCAACTTTTGACATTGTCGCTTAACAAAAATCGTATTTTAAATTTAAATCTAGAGTGCCATGGTTGTGTTAAAGACACTAATTCAAGGAGCCTTGGAAAAATAAATTTGACCGTCTAACGTTTTTCGTGTCTTATACCGACCGGTTAAAAGATGCCCAAATCGCATTTTCTATCATATCTCAATTTTTTCAAATGGAACGAGGGTGGCTCATTAGCATATTTGGAAAAAGCATTTTTTACGAATAATTTGGTACACACACTTGGTATTTCGAATCAAAATGTCGTTGAACCGCATGTTACAATTTCAAATAAACCATATGTGAAAATGTCACAATTTGATACGTCATTATCTTCAGAATGTCATTTTCTATCAAACAAAGTAAAAAATATCGTAGGTGCCATTTAAAAATCAAAAGTTGTAGTCATTTCCGGTGTAACAGGAAGTGATCGAAAACAATTGAATACGCCAATCAATCCTAATTTATGTCATATACTAGCATACCAAAACCCGTTTATTTATCTGAAAAAATTAAAAGTTATAGTGGTAAGCCACTTTTGAGACGCACCCGGTATATAGTGTATGATACATTTGATGCACTTGGCAACACGGCAGTCGTCAACTAAAAAGACAACGTACGTACATCGCACGCAACATACAAGTTTTGCAAAGTGATTTCAAAAATATAAGCCTTTCGCTGCAAATGTACTTTGATTGACGCCTCTAGTAAGTGATATAATATCAACCCAATAAGAAACACAAATACAATAAAATTAACACTACATTTGCGCATCAAGCCAGAGATTTAAACCGAATCGTTACACTCCAACAAACACTCCGATTTCAACGTACCGACTTCACCGAACACCCGCTCAACACTAAATTAATTAAATATGGCCGTGGACAATTAAGACTGGCCACTGGTCCAGTCATTGTATAGCGTTTTGAGGCCTTTTTAATTGATGAGGTCACGTCATTCTGCATTTTCATCGACGACCGAAAACATTTAATTCTCCGCGGGCCGGCCATAGATCAAATGGATTATTCCCACTCTGTGGGACTTGCGTTAATAATAACGCATTAGTTTTATTACTCGATGAGAGTATGTTAACTAAAATATGAATGTTATTTTTAATACAGGGTATTGTTTTTGCAGATTACTGTGGAAATTTGTGGTAATATATTTCTTTCAAAATATTTAAATACAATAAGACACTAATATAGCTAATAGTTATTTATGATATACCTAAGTGCTAAAGTGGTAAGAGAAGGAAAGCTCCCATCCCTTCGAACAAAATAAAATCATTTTTAGGACACATATCGTACATCGTATCGTATTTTTTGTACAAACAATTTTATGCTCGTATATATCAAGGTATTATTACTTTTTACGTTAATGAATAATTCATAATACGTCATTCTGAAATCAAATTAATTATGAAGTTTATGGTTGCTAGAGTAATTGAAAGATTCCAAACATTCGATCATTTGTTGTCAACTAATGTCAAATTTGTGCCTCAACTTTTGTAAAATGGTGGAAAGTGATCAAGAAACTGAGAGTTTCCCAGCAGAAATTGAAGAAGCTGCTAATATAATTACTTTTGATTGGTAAGGTGCCTGCCAATATTGCAAAATTTCTAAATTTGTCCGATTCTCATCTTTATACTGGACATTGCTTCCGAAGATCCTCGGCTAGTTTGCTGGCAGATTCTGGGGCTAATCATAATACAATTAAGCGACACGGTGGATGGCAGTTCAGTACTGTAGCGGAGGGTTATATAGAAGACTCTTTATACAAACCAAAACGAGTATTGCAGGTCAAATTTTATCCAGAACCTCAGCGGATACTACCATTGCTTCTAATACAAGATTCTAGTATAAGATTCACGTCAGAGATAACTTCTACTTGTACTACAGCTGAATTGACCAGTTGAAACCGAATTGGCCATCGAATAACTTATTCCAATTGTAATTTCACTAATTACAATTTAATTTGAGTAAATAATTATTTTCTACGTTGACTTGATTTTTCTTATTTTTTCTTCAATTATCGCTTCAGTGTTAAAAGTAAATCAGGTGACTTACTTTTAGCACTGGTGCATAATGTCACATTTTAGGCGCTGACAGCATGCGTTAAAAATTACATTTTACTGACGTTTGTAGAAAAATACATTTTAAGTCACTTACCTCCAGATCCATAGTTCTGGACAGAGGCCCTCCCTGACCGGCCATACTCGCCAGGTACTGCCCTTCGGATCCAGCACCGAGGGTATGTCTGCGTGGATCGTCCCTTCTGGTACCACGGCTTCTACCTCTCACCTCTCCACCTTCATTATCACTTCGAGCTGAAAATAAGTAGAAAACTCATCAGTAACATCGTACCTTGTTTTAAGGGATTGCAAAAATTAATACACTAAGAGCATTTATTGTCCTTTACGAATTATACAATTTTCTGTATAACTCTTGTTTGATCGCACCGTTTTTTTTATAAATATTACATCAATTATTTAGCTCATCTAATTAGCCTTATCTTATCTAGTTATCAAAGAAGCTACTTTATTTTTCATGAGCACTACTGCCAATTGTCATTATCTGAAAAGGACCTGACATATTTTAAAGAATAAAAACAGCCAAAGAATAAAACCTATTTTTACAATACCACGACGTTTTAAAACTGTTAAATTGCGTCAAATTATGACATACAGATTTAAATGACACATATTACAAATCGTGGTTATAATAATGTCAAAATTTTTAGTCAAAACGTAAAATGTTATTAAATATCAAAAAATCACAAAAACATTCCACATGCCATGCTCGAAGATGTCGTAGATGAAGAACAACCAGGAATATTATTGAAAAATCGAAATCTTCTAATCAAAAGTGCAAATATCAAGAAACTCAGACATCCCCTATTTTTATCCTCGCACTTGAGACAAGGTTTTGATGATACGCCTAAACTATACTTGCAGAAACATGAAGATGAAGATACTAATGAATACAAACTACTCCTAGAATCAAAAAAAGATAGTCCTAGTGATGAAACAGATACTCCAGCATTACAAGATGTTGCTCTTGATAACACAGTTAGAGAAGAGAAAGATACAAACGAAAGCAATAAAAAACCTGAAGAACTTCTAGAGATTGAAGATATACCTATTAAGGATCATGATGAAGTATTACTTCAAGACGTGATAAATGATTTAAAAGAGCGTCAGTCACAGACGTTTAGTTTGGATCTTCTACCAAAACCTGATGTAACTGAAGAAGATAATAAAGATATTAGTGATTATGAACTGAGTATAGAAAGCTTGCCACAAACTAAAGTAAGTGAAGAACTCAAAGACACTCAAAAACCTTCAATTGAAGAGGTAAGTGCTCAGACGAAATCAAGTTTGATTCAACTAAGATCAAGTTGTAAAAGCTGTGATATACATTCAAAATTAGTTCAATCAAGAGCAGGAATAGTAACTGTCTTTAGGGCTTGTCCTATTTATGTATGTAGTTCTCTGTTAAAAGTAGATAATGTCGAAGTTTCCAAACCAAGGAAAACTAGAAAGTCTGCTGGGAAATCTACTTTTTACGTTGATATTGAAAAATGCAGTAAAGGTATCAATACAGTAGAGATCGGATCAGAATGCTCTGATATTGAAGATGCAGGTTACGCAAGTGCTGATGAAAAATCTGAAGAAGCTTGTCAAAAATTGTGTAAAGAAAAGTTAAAGAAATCAAGAAGTGAAAGTGATGCATTTAATTCAATTCAAGTAACCTTTGCAAAACAAAAAACTGCTAGAAGTGTAACTGTCAAGCTAGGAAGGAACATGAAAGATATTCAGTTATATATATGTAAAAATAAAAGATTTTGCGTTGACACAAACACAGGTTATAACAGAGTTGAAATAGAGAAACCAGATTTAATACATTATGAAGGAAAAAATCTGAAATCAATGCTTGGTAATACCACCACCGACATCCACAGACAGCAGATTAGTTGCGTCGACAAACAAAACAATGAATCTTGTAATCCTACCCTAATAGAGGCTGAAGCCAGGGGCCTAAATCCTAATGAAAACAAGATGGGAGAGGATTGTGCTTGTGTTTGTAGGAAAATGTGTTGTAAGAGAAATGTCCTGATAATTGAGGTGTTATTGTAAATTGTTATTGTACGAAGAAGCCATCCGTTTGTTTTATATTCGTGGTGTTTTTGTATTAATAGATATCATTATGTTACTTATACAGTTTTTTGTACAATATATCAAATATAGTAGGATTTTTCGTTGGAAGTCTTCAAAATCAAAAAGCGTTTCTATACAAAGACAACAGAAAATAACCATCTATTAAGATAGATATGAAACTTAATAGTAAAATTTTGTGTCAAAGCGCCCTCTGTGTCCTTAGTGGAGACTAAGTTTAACCCAGGGCTACTGTAATGTTTTTTTATATTTATAATTGAATTCAAAGGATATATACTCTGTTTTTTTCTCAGGTAAGATTTCGACAGACGATGACAGAAGAAAAGCAAATGATCGTCTCATACCAATCTGTTTATTTTACTAAAAAAAGTTTCTAATATTGTTTAAGTTAACTATGGATGGGTTTAAATATAAATCCGTCATGCGTCGTGTCTTGTTGTTTTTAACCAGTTTTATTGGTTTATTTCAAAAATGACAGATCATATTTCAATTTTATTGGTTTGACGAAACGATGAACGACAAACGGACGCCGATACGTATGAACTCGCCTTTAGATTTTTGAGGCTTGTCAAAGTGTTGCCAAATTATAGGTTATAATTTTGTGTCAACTTATGTCAAATACCATGCGTTTTGGTAGATGATGCATTTTGATTCGTGTTATTACGTGTGTTTTGTGTCTTTTGAAGTCAAGTGGAGGAAAAATCGAGGGAAAATTAACTGTAAACCCCAGATCACAGTTTATATAGTTAATACTCGCTGCCCAGGCAGAGAGTCTTATACACCAATAAAGTTATCATCAATAAAGTTTGTATACCATCTCGTCGTAGATAAGTGCATCTCGTATATGGCACAAGGATCGTACTAAACATATTATACCTACTAAAAACTGGAGTAGCTGTAAAATATCGACATCACACGATAGGTAAATAATGGATTTATTGTACTACAGAAAAATAATGTCAAAAGGTACTGGTTTAAAAAAATTAAGATAATGGTTAATTATTTATATATTTTGTTGTTTTATTTATCAAAATAAAAACAGTTTATAATCATCTGCTGATGATGCTAACATGGTTAGCGAAACGCGCGTCCAGTGTAAAAGTAAAAGTGTTTTGGTGTATTGTGGTGATTTATTGTTTTTATTTTGCTGTGTAACACCAAAGGTTCCAACCCTCAACTGTAATAGTTTTATTTATTCCCGTGGAATATATTTGTATTTGTACATAAGTTGATAAATATAATAATAAATGCTGGAAGTTTCTTGAAGCTTGAAAGTAAGAAATAATTTTTTTTATATTTGTTTGGTAAGAGGTGTTTTGTTCTTGTTTGTTTTGTATTAACACATACTGTTTTTTTTTAATAAAATAACTCTCTTACATTTTTTCAGTTTTATACATTTTTTTTCACAATATTTTGAAGTAATCACTGTGTCAGTCAAATTTTAAATATATTAATTTCCTGCTATGGGTTCCAGTTGGACCAACTTATTTCTTTGTAAAATAAAATAAACTACTTTGAAATTAAAATGACAGACACCTCTATCACTGTCAAGGATTTTGTCGTTGGACAGACTGTATTTTTAAAGTTACACGGATATATTAGTATATCAGAGTAACTTTAATAAAACAGATAAATTTTACAGTTTATTTAAAATACATTTTGTCTACAAGCTAGATCACAATATTTTTGATAAAAAATACGCCAAATTTCATTTTTTTTATTTTTTTTTAAAAAATGGTGTTGAAAAGTATAAACGGGATTAACCATTTTAGAACAAGCCAAATTTTTTTTAATAATGTATTTTTCTCAAAATATTTTTTTTTGCTTTTTTTTCTTGTAAATCATCATCACAAAATCTAGTTAAATAAAAATTGTCGCCATCTTAGATTAAAATAGCTGATAACGGCAACATAGCATTTTTCAGTTTACATCTATTTTGTATGTTTTGAGTATCTTTGTTTAGTAAAGTTTGTTTATATTATTTGTCTTTTAGGTTTAACTGTAAGTAGTTTTAATTTAGCAAATAACAGAAAAACTAAAATATAAAAATAAAGAGAAAAAATACAAAAAAACGATGCAAAATTTAACAGTAGTAATTATTCATTGTTAGGGATTATGGCTTCTAATTAAATTTTCAACACTGTTAAATACGAAAAACGTAGCGTTTGTACATACACCTTTTCTAATTACCGGTCTAATGAATTCTTTATCGAAAAGAGAAACAGATTTCATTTATTTTTCTTCCATTTTTAACGAGAACTCGGTTTGTATTTCTTAATCCTTTCAGAAAACGTCGAGCAAACAGGAGTAGAAACTGTTTAGGTCTGAAAAACTGAGTCCAATTTCCTATTTTTATTTCTCTTCACCACCACTGGTTATTCTTTGAAAGATTTCTGCATTACCGGCTGACAAATACGGAAATAGGCGAATAATTCGATTTCGATATAATTTCGTAGCGATTTGACGTCGAACACCGGCGGCCATTTTGGATTTCTTCCAGGTGGAAAATCCACGGACCCTTATTTGCCTGCCAGAATTCATTTCCGTTTTTCTAGATCGATATTTGTAATTATAATTTTAAATTATATTCGATGAGATATCATTTAATTAATAAAATGACAAGGAATAACAAAACTAATACAATATGATCGAAAAAAAGGTGTCAGGGATGGTTATTAAATGAAGATCGCTGTCATTTTATATGTAAAATTATATGGGAAATGTCATTGATCGTTATTTATAAGCTAACTGGACGCCCTTTTTTCGATCATACGGTACTACAATGTAAAAATAGAACACAAAATCAGCACAATACACCAAAACACTTTTACTTTTACACTGGACGCGCGTTTCGCTATAACCACGTTAGCATCATCAGCAGTTGATTAAAAAAAGGAATTTTTAAGAATGTCAATTGAGTTTTTATCATCTGCTGATGATGCTAACATGCATTGGCGTAACTAAAGGGGTGCCCGGGGGTGCCCCCCCCGGTACTGCTGGGCATCCCCCAGAGAAATCATGAATTATATGACTCTTGGCTATGTATTAATTTTATTTGCTTGTGATGCAGTAAAAATGACGTTTTCTAGTTTTGTTTAGTTAATATTATTTTGTTGTGTTCAAAAAATATGTTAATTAAGTAATCTACGGGA